GTGCTGGGAAGTGTTGCATAATGCCCTCCCCACCACTGAACCAAAGTGATTTATTTACTATGGTCTGTAGGTGGTGCCTGACCAACTTGTCCGTTTTAGCAATAACAGGGCCAGAAAAGAGTTGGGGGTTTTATGTTATTGCAGGGTTTTTCCTTGTTTTAAACAAGCAGTGCAGGTGCTCTTATCCTGATAAGTTATAAAGTGCTTCTTTCTACACAACTTCCTGTGCCCCTTTTCTGCATATTTATTCCAAATAGCATGTGAACTTCAGTCTTTTAAGGAGAGAAAGCTAAGAAAATACTGCTCCAGTTTATTAGCACAGGCTATGGAGACAGACCTGGCTTTTTATCTCCGCTTTATACCGTTTGTTGATTGTGTGTCCTAAGCATAGGATTTTTCCTCATTTGTAAAATGGAAATGAAAATAATACATTAGTCATCACAGTGAGGATTTTAAGAGATAATGTATATACAGCACTTAGCACAAGGCCTTGCATATAGTATTTATTATAATAATAGGTTTTGAAAATAACCAGAATAGTAGTATTCTCCTTAAGAAAGGAAAGATACTGCTATTTGAACCTGCTTAGGGATACAGGAGGAAGAAGAAAGTGTTTGAAGCAAACACCAGTTTCAGGATTATTTATTAAATTTATTTATACTTCTGGTTTATTTATTTATTTATTTTAGACAGAGTCTACCTCTGTCACCCAGGCTGGAGTGCAGCGGCGTAATTTCGGCTCACTGCTGCCTCCGCTTCCTGCGTTCAAGCGATTCTCTGGCCTCAGCCTCCCAAGTAGCTGGGATTACAGGCGCCTGCCACCACACCTGGCTAATTTTTGTATTTTTAGTAGAGACGGGGTTTAGCCATGTTGGCCAGGCTGGTCTTGAACTCCTGACCTCAAGTGATCCGCCCACCTTGGCCTTCCAAAGTGCTGGGATTACAGGTGTGAGCCACTGTGCCTGGCCCATATTTTCTTTATCCATTTGATTATCCATGGACATTTGAGTTTTTCCCCCTTATTGGCAGCTCTTCTGCCTCAGCCTCCCAAGTAGCTGGGATTACAGGTGTCTGCCGCCACGCCCAACTAATTTTTGTATGTTTAGTAGAGACAGGGTTTCACCATATTGGTCAGGCTGGTCTTGAACTCTGACCTCAGGTGATCCGCCCTCCTCGGCCTCCTAAAGTGCTGGGATTACAGGCTTTTATTTACACTTCTACTTTCCCTTTGCTAACAGGAATTTTTTCTCTTTTGTGTGTGTGTGCGCGCTTTATTGGGAGAAAAAGTACTTAAGAGTTTTCAGTTATTTTTGATATTTTTCTTTTTTTTTTTTTTTTTTTTTTTTTTTTGAGACGGAGTCTCGTGCTGTCGCCCAGGCTGGAGTGCAGTGGCCAGATCTCAGCTCACTGCAAGCTCCGCCTCCCGGGTTCACGCCATTCTCCTGCCTCAGCCTCCCGAGTAGCTGGGACTACAGGCGCTGCCACCTCGCCCGGCTATTTTTTGTATTTTTTAGTAGAGACGGGGTTTCACCGTGTTAGCCAGGATGGTCTCGATCTCCTGACCTCGTGATCCGCCCATCTCGGCCTCCCAAAGTGCTGGGATTACAGGCTTGAGCCACCGCGCCCGGCCATTTTTGATATTTTTCTAATTCATTTCTTCTCTGGTTACAAATCAGTCATGCATGGATGTTTTGTTTTTCCTGAAATCTCCAGGCACTTTAAGCAAAGGGTTTTATTAGCCCACTTGAGTAATGGGTTCATGGGAGTACCGTTCCATTGCGAAAGAAATATTGGTTTACCTGTATCCAGAAGTTTTAGTTACTCTTGTCTGTACTGTCTAGGTCTGTACTAGCATTGTAATTTTCCAGCTTTCTCCCGTCCTTCGAGTACCTTATTTTTTCTTTTAGAAATTTGGTGTGTCTTTAATGGACTAAGAAGAATCTTTTCCTTTCTTTCTCTGGGTTCTGATTTTTTTTAAAGGTCTGTTAACAATTTGTGCTCACTGTTGTTAGTTTTCTTGTGTGCTTGGCTTTATCAGGCATCCTACAATGTCATGTTGGTTAGATGGGAGTTAGAAGTGCTTGGAGGTTGCCTATGTCTGCCAACAGGCAGGAGGCCCCAAACTAATGTTTCCCAGGTCCATTAAAGGTTTCTAGAGCATAACTACTCTTCCTGTATCATCTACCACCTCCACTTCATACCCTCTTTGCTAACATTCTCAGTATATCTTAATAAGCAGATGTCTGGAATTATAGCAGATTTTACCTCAAACAGTATTTTCAGATTTGGAATTTCTATATCACTTTTAGATGTTATGAAATCCAATCTAGGTGTAATGGAGTAAGAGAGTAAATATTTCTTTTTCCTAAGTACTATTTGAAAAGAAGGCTGAAAATAGTGTGTTCCTCTGCCTCCCCACCCATGCCCAGTTGCCAGTTTAGGGGCCCTTTTTTTTTTTTTTTTTTTTTTTTTTTTTTTTTTTTTTTTTTTGAGACAGAGTTTCACTTTTGTTGCCCAGAGTGGAGTGCAGTGGTGTCATCTCGGCTCACCGCAACCTCCGCCTCCTGGGTTCAAGCGATTCTCCCGCCTCAGCCTCCCGAGCAGTGGGATTACAGGCATGTGCCACCACGCCTGACTAATTTTGTATTTTTAGTAGAGACGGGGTTTCTTTATGTTGGTCAGGCTGGTCTCGAACTCCCGACCTCAGATAATCCACCTGCCTCAGCCTCCCAAAGTGCTGGGAGTGAGGCACTGTGTCCGGCCATGGAGCACTTTTGTTTCTTAATCTGGCCAGTTTTTTTTTTGTTTTTGTTTTTGTTTTTTTTTGAGGCAGAGTCTCGCTCTGTCGCCCAGGCTGGAGTGCAGTGGTGTGATCTCGGCTCACTGCAAGCTCCGCCTCCTGGGTTCATGCCATTCTCCTGCCTCAGCCTCCCAAGTAGCTGGGACTACAGGTGCCCGCCACCATGCCTGGCTACTTTTTAAAATATTTTTAGTAGAATTGGGATTTCACTGCGTTAGCCAGGATGGTCGTGACCTCGTTATCTGCCCGCCTCGGCCTCCCAAAGTGCTGGGATTACAGACATGAGCCACCGCGCCCGGCCAATCTGGCCAATATTTTAAGGTTACAATTAGAATTACAGTTGTTGATATTTGTTCATTTAATGTAGTCAACATAATTTCCACACTTTGAATGCTCTTAAGGAATTGTTTATTTATAGAGACTAGTATAAAGTTGTTCTATCTTACTTAGTTGGAACTAATCCAGAGTTACTACAATCTAGAAAGTAAAGGAGGTTTTTTTTTATAGTCTCTTAAATATCACTGTAATTGTAGAGTGTGAAATAATTTCTTGGGTTTCCTTGGTCCCCTGTTCCTCTGAGGCAGTGGTTCTTTTTTTTTTTTTTTTTTTTTTTTTTTTGAGACAGAGTCTTGCTCTGTAGCCCAGGCTGGAGTGCAGTGGCGCGATCTGGACCTCGGCTCACTGCAAGCTCCGCCTCCCGTGTTCATGCCATTCTCTTGCCACAGCCTCCTGAGTAGCTGGGACTACAGGCGCCCACCACCACGCCCGGCTAATTTTTTGTATTTTTAGTAGAGACAGGGTTTCACTGTGGTCTCGATCTCCTGACCTTGTGATCCGCCCACCTCGGCCTCCCAAAGTGCTGGGATTACAAGCGTGAGCCACCGCGCCTGGCCGGCAGTGGTTCTTAACTGAGGTGTCATGTTAGAATCACCTGGGAAGCTTTTTAAAAAAAGAATCTGGCCGAGAACAGTGGCCCACGCCTGTAATCCCAGCACTTTGGGAGACCAAGGCGGGTGGATCACCTGAGGTCAGGAGTTCGAGACCAGCCTGGCCAACGTGGCAAAACCCCGTCTCCACAAAAATACAAAAATTAGCCAGATGTGGTGGTGGGCGCCTATAGTCCCAGCTACTCCAGAGGCTGAGGCAGAGAGAAGTACTTGAATCCAGGAGGCGGAAGTTACATTGAGCTGAGGTCACGCCACTGCACTCCAGCCTGGGTGACAGAGCGACACTCTGTATTAAAAAAGAAAAAAAAAACAATCTGTGCCTCACCCCTAGGAATTCAGTTCTGTTTGGGCTAAACCTGGGTTGGGACTCAGACATCAATACAGCTCTTCATAGAAGGTTTTACAGTATAGTCAGCAATAAGAACCTCTGTTTCAGGATAAAATGATTTCTACAAACATTTTTTCATTCTCTAGGTAATAAAATGTCACGCCTCTACAGTCATGTGAAAGTTCCATTAAAAAAGTTAGTCGCTATATAAAGTCTTTTATCATATGGCACTTGAAATATTTTGCTTTTGCCTTTGTATTTATAGCCGTGAGTAAGTAGCTCAAAAAAGCTGTACATATTCCTCTGCCAACTTTCCTGTCTCCTTGTCTGAATGATAATTCATCATAAAGTCTCAGTGGTAAGCATTGACAGAGAAAATATCTAAGACTGTTTTCCTACAGAAACAGTCATCTTGCTCTTTTTGTTCCTTTTTTATTAAAGATTCTTACAGCCTGAGAGAATGAAGAGCTGTGGAGTCCAGGATATCAGTCTGGCTACCATAGATCTGAGAGTCCAGTCTAGTACAGTAGATTTTTCTAAATACATAAGAATCAAAGATATATATTGAATATCAAGCCAGCTTTAAACAAACATAGATACTAGTATAAAGTTGTTCCATCTTAATTTGAAGTAATCCAGAGTTACTACAATCTAGAAGGTAAAGAAGGTTTTTTTTTTTTTTTTTTTTTTGAGACGGAGTCTTGCTCTGTAGCCCGGGCTAGAGTGCAGTGGCCGGATCTCAGCTCACTGCAAGCTCCGCCTCCCGGGTTTGCGCCATTCTCCTGCCTCAGCCTCCGGAGTAGCTGGGACTACAGGCGCCCGCCACCTCGCCCGGCTAGTTTTTTGTATTTTCAGTAGAGACGGGGTTTCACCGTGTTAGCCAGGATGGTCTCGATCTCCTGACCTCGTGATCCGCCCGTCTCGGCCTCCCAAAGTGCTGGGATTACAGGCTTGAGCCACCGCGCCCGGCCGGTAAAGGTTTTTGTAATCTCTTAAATATCAATGCTAAACATATTATGATAATGTATCACTTTGATAACAGATAAAACTTCTAAAAATGTAGCACTCTTACATTTTGATTCTAGTATTTATAAGTATAATAAAATGATACATTATTTTTCCATAATTTCTCTCACATCTTAAAATTCTCATTAGAAAGTCTCAAATGTAACTTCTAAGCTCTTTCTGTATTCATGGGAAACTTTAGCTTTTTCACATACTAGAGAAAATAAAATAGACAGTCAAAGAATGATGAGCAAAGGCTATACAAAAAGTCTAGCTAATAGTTTGCAAAGTAGGTTGTATTAGAAAATGTTCCAATAACTTTGCACTGGAATGGGGCTATTGATTTGAAGTAATCTGATATATTACAACATCAAAGGTCTATTATGCAAAACAAGTTTGAACGCATCTCATGTGTACTTGGTGTTTTTTTTTTAATAGATTTTGTTTCATTTTATACACTTGAAAAGTTTACTCCCTTATTTGATTCAACATATTTGCAAAATCTGCCAACAGTATAAATGTTGAAAGTTCTAGATGGGGTTTTAAAGAAAGGGCCCTGGGTTTAAAGTCAGTCTTGAGGTATTACCAGCACCATTTAATTGCTAGTTGTTTGACTTCAGGTATGTTTCCTGCCTTTTCTGAGCCTGTGGTTCCCAGCCATAAAATAGAACTGATAGTACCTGCTCTACTACCTCACAAGATTTAAAAGAAAAAAAAAAAAAGAAAAAAAGATAGTGTAGGGCAGTGGTTCTCAAAGTGTGGTCCAAGGAGCCACTGAAGGTTTCATGGGTCAATAAGGATCTCCCTTATGTAAGAACAGATTCTCAATATACTCGAACCAAAACAACATATGACAACAGATTGAATGCAGAATCAGATAAGAGAGTCCACCTGCATCTGTTAAAGCCAGGTATTAAAGAGGATTGCAAAATGTAAATTAATACCACTCCTCTCACTTGTTTTTGAAAGTTTTTTAAGGAAAAAATATGTTAGTATGTAATGGGTTTATTGCTATTTTAAATAAATATTTTAAAGTCTTTTAATTTTGAATATAGTAAATATTGATAAATATAATCTATATAAACAGCAGCTCTTCATAATCTGTAATACTTTTTTTTTGAGACAGAGTCTCGCTCTGTAGCCCAGGCTGGAATGCAATGGTGTGATCTTGGCTCACTGCATCTTCCTCCTCCCAGGTCCCAGTTCAAGCAGTTTTCCTGCCTCAGCCTCCCAAGTAGCTGGGATTACAGGCACATGCCACCATGCCCAGCTATTTTTTTATTTTTATTTTTATTTTTATTTTTAGTAGAGATGGGGTTTCACCAAGTTGCCAGGCAGGTCTTGAACTCCTGACCTTGTGATCCGCCCACCTTGGCCTCCCAAAGTGCTGGGATTACAGGTGTGAGCCACCGCACCCAGCCTGTAATACTTTTTTTAAAAAGTGTAAGTGGATCATGAGACCACAGGTTTTTAGAACTGCTGATAAACAGTAATGGTTGAGTAGGGCTGCTCTGCCTATGGAGTAGCCATTCTTTTATTTATTTTCTAATAAATTGCTTTCATTTAAAAAAAAAACACAAAATGTTGGAGGAGGGGGCAATGGTTGAATAGTTCCTATCAGGACAATTTCCTGCAGATAAATATAAACTTGATAAATTTTTTTTTTTCCCTTTTGAGATGGAGTTTCGCTCTTGTTGCCCAGGCTGGAGTGCAGTGGCACAATCTCGGCTTACCGCAACCTCCGCCTCCCGGGTTCAAGCAACTCAGCTGCCTCAGCCTCTGGAGTAGCTGGTATTACAGGCATGTGCCACCACACCCGGCTAATTTTGTATTTTTAGTAGAGACGGGGTTTCTCCATGTTGATCAGGCTGGTCTCGAACTCCCGACCTCAGGTGATCTGCCCACCTCTGCCTCCCAAAGTGCTGGGATTACAGGCGTGAGCCACTGCGCCCAGCTGATGAAAGTTTTAAAAATGACTAGATGACATTTGAGAATTACAGAAACTAGATTGAGGTCTGCAGTTGGAAGAGGAGAACAGCAGTGAATAAGCTTCTGTTTTTATGGCTTTTAGACTGGCATAGGTCCCAGCTGGTGATATGAAGAGGTGGCTACAACTGTAATAACAATCTGTAATCTCTCTAGAAGAAATGGGGACAGAGCTCACAGTGATCACGCAGCTGGAAAGTGCAGGAGAAAATCCTAGAAAGAATGTTGGAGTGGCAGAACCCCAAACACTGTTTATAAACTCTGCTTGAATTTCTTGCAAACCCCTGAACTGTACATGTGTGGAGCAGCCTCCAAACAGCACACTTAAGGCTAGAGGAGCAGAGATTTTAGCTGCTGTCCACCACAGGGGAGGCAGAACTTGGAGTTTAAGTCTAGCTGAGGTAATTGTCTACAAAAACAAAAACATAAACACTCTTTGGAAGAATATTACAGAATCTAGAGTCATTTGTATTAATCATAATATCTAGGCTATAATCCAGAAACCATCACCCTAATCAGTGGAGACTGACCCCACAATGAGCCAAAGGTTGGATTTAGCAGAGAAGATTTAAAGCAGCTATTATAACTATGCTCAAGGATGTAAAGCAAAATAATGTTGTATATGTGAACAAATAGGAAATCTCAGCAGAGAACTAGAAACTTTAAAAAAGAACGAAATGAAAATTTTATATCTGAAAATACAGTATTTGAAACAAAAATCTTGAATAGATTTAACAGAGCAGATAGAAGAGATAAGTCATTTAATTTGAGGATAGATTAATAGAAATTATCTAATCTGAAGTAGATACATTATTGTATATGAAAGTTCTGTGTAAACTTCAGTGCTCTATGTAAGTTTCGGAGTTTATTACTCCAGGTTTCTTTCATATGTAAAGGGAAGAGGTGCATTTGGGTCTTCTGATCTGAAGCTCCCTTAATGTCTTGTCCTGTCATGTCTGTGTCTAGGCTTTATGCCCTCTGGTTTCTTTATTTTTATTTTTATTTTTTTGAGACAGAATCTCGCTGTGTTGCCTAGGCTGGAGTGCAATGGATCTCAGCTCACTGCAACCTCTGCCTCCTGGGTTCAAGTGATTCTTCGGCCTCAACGTCCCAAGTAGCTGGGATTACAGGCATGTGCCCCCACACCCGGCTAATTTTTGTATTTTGAGTAGAGGCGGAGTCTCACCATGTTGTCCAGGCTGGTCTCAAACTCCTGGCCTCAAGTGGTCCACTCACCTTGTCCTCCTAAAGTGCTGGGATTACAGGCGTGGGCCACTGCGCTTGGCCTAGCCTCTGGTTTCTAATATCCCCTGCAGTCAAATATTTGGCCCTTGCTGCTTTCCTGTGCTATTGTCAGAGGTCACCAGGAATCTTTTGGTTATTACACTCGACATGTTTGTAATGGGCCTCACCCCCATGTTTCTCTTCAGTTATTTTGCACCATTGCCACCTCCTTTCTGCAAGGTCATTGCTTTTCCTCAATGACGATGTTTTCTTATTTCTCCTTCTCTGTCTTATTGTGTCTTTTCTGTTTTCCAAAGATTCATTCTTAGCTTTTTTCCCTCTTATTTCATTCTACTTTTTAGTCTACTTTATTATTTTCATACTTGGTTACTTCAGCCTTGTCATTTTAGAGGCCTCTTCTCCCTCTCTGGCTCTGCTCTCTCTAGAGCCCAGTCCTGCTTCTTGTCTCTGCTGATCACTAAACATTTCTACTTAGATATCTGGTAGACATTTGGAGCTCAGGGTGTCTGAGGTGAAACCTCTATTCTTCTTCTTCTTTTTTTTTTTTTTTTTTTTTGAGGTGGGAGCCTCTTATCAAGCCAGTTTCTGTACTACTTCTCTAATGTTCTGGGACTCTGCCTTTATATCAACACCTAGCACGTGGCAGTTACTCTGAAAATGTGATCTGAAGGAATGGATGAATTCTTCTATTTACCCAAGCTGGAATTCTGAGACTCACCTTTGATTTGATCTCTGTGGTGACCACATCCAATCTGTTGCCAAGTCATGTCAGTTTTGTGTCTAATGTATCTCTTGTATTCCTTCCTCCATTCCCACCACGATTACTTTGATATCATAGTAGGCTTCTAGCCAGTCTTTTCTTTCTCCATGCCTTTTCCCTTGCTAATATTTTTTATATGTTGCTATTAGAGCAGTCTTGACTCATGCCTAATGATGGTGATGATGATAATGCCTCGTATTTATTAAGCACTTACTATGGGCCCACTATTTCTAAGTGCATTATATCATTAAATTCAAATAACCTTTAAGTTAGATACTGTCATTATCCATATTTTATAAGTGAAATGGAGGCCCAGAGAGTTAAGTATCTTGCCAAGACCATGCAGCTAGTAAATGGCAGAGCTAAAATTTTAAGCTGTCTGATTTTAGTTCAAGCTTTAACTACCACAGTCTGTAGTGGTAACTACCTACTCCCTCCCACAGAGTAAGGTAACTGATCATGCTGTTCTTACTCAAACGTCTTAGATAGTTGATTTCAAACACTATACTACTTTTTTTTTTTTTTTTTTTTTTTTTTTTTTTTTTTTGAGACGGAGTCTCGCTGTGTCGCCCAGGCTGGAGTGCAGTGGCGCGATCTCGGCTCACTGCAAGCTCCGCCTCCCGGGTTCACGCCATTCTCTCGCCTCAGCCTCCGAGTAGCTGGGACTACAGGCGCCCGCCACCACGCCCGGCTAGTTTTTTTTTGTATTTTTAGTAGAGACCAGGATGGTCTCGATCTCCTGACCTCGTGATCCACCCGCCTCGGCCTCCCAAAGTGCTGGGATTACAGGCTTGAGCCACCGCGCCCGGCCTACTTTTTAGTCTTATATTCAGTATCCTTTGTGAGCTGACCACATCTCATTATTTCTGTTACTTTGGATTTTTTTTCTATGCCAGACTGAATCCTTCTGTTATCTAAATATTCATATTCTTCCCAGTAATTTTATTCATTTTATTTTTTTTCTGCCTGGCCGCCTTTCCCATTGAGTTGCCTGTGTTTGTCTCCCTCTGATAGCATGTTCTCTAACTGCTCTATGCTACTAAATGCATTTATTTCATATTATAATTATGGTTTGATGTTTTATCTTTCCTGTGAGCCTGTAATCTTGAGTGTAACATCTGTCATTTTTTTCTGTCTCCATGCCTTGTACAATGCACGCTTTTACATATTTTTTCTTTATTAAATTGCTCTTCAAAAAATCTGTTGAATAAGTGAAGAATTTAACTATTACCCATAGACCATTAACCATAAGATTCCCGTATGGGTGGCTTATTAGTGTGCTATGTCTCATTTCCCTGTGGTTCAGTAGCTCATTATACTACATAATGGGAAGAACTGGTGAAAATGTTTATGATCTGAGGGTTTGATGTTTTTTTGTTTTTGTTTTTGTTTTTTGAGACAATTTATCAGGCTAATTTAAGATACTTCAGTTTTTTCAAAAAATTGATTATTATTCAAAAAATAATCATTTCATTGATTCTAAGACACGTTTTTCACATGCTGAAATTGTCAATATAGATTTTTATTTTGTTAGGCTCGGCACAGTGGCTCATGCCTGTAATGCTAGCACTTTAGGAGGCCGAGGCGGGCAGATCACCTGAGGTCAGGAGTTCGAGACCAGCGTGGCCAACATGGTGAAATCACATCTCTACTAAAAATACAAAAATTAGCTGGACATGGTGGCGGGCACCTGTAATGCCAGCTACTTGGGAGGCTAGGCAGGAGACTCACTTAAACCTGGGAGGCGGAGGTTGCAGTGAGCTGAGATGGAGCCATTGCACTCCAGCCTGGTCAACAAGATCAAAACTTCGTCTCTAATAATAATAATAATAATAAAATTTGGGGATTATTCCACATCAGTACATTAAATATGTAGTTTTAATAGATTCTACCTTTTTTTTTTTTTTTTTGGGACGGAGTCACGCTCTATCATCCAGGCTAGAGTACAGTGGCGCAATCTTGGCTCACTGCAAGCTCTGCCTCCCGGGTTCATGCCATTCTCCTGCCTCAGCCTCCCAAGTAGCCGGGACGGGTTACAGGCACCTGAATGACCACTAATGCCACAGCATAATTTTTGCACCATTATATTAGTTAGAGGATGGGGGTTTTCATGTGTTTAGGCCAGGATGATCTCGATCTCACTTGACACTCGTGATAACCGCACCGCCTCGGACCTCCCAAAGGGCATGGGAAGTCGGACAGGCGTGAGCCACAGTACTGCGGTTTTTTTATTTTATTTTCGAGACAAGGGTCTCGCTCTGCCACCCAGGCTGAAGATGCAGTGGCATGAATCATGGCTCAGCTGTAGCCATCGATCTTGCATGGCTCAAAAGCATGTCCTCCTGACTCAGACACCCAGTAGCTGAGACTAAGGCATGCACCACCATGCCTGGCTAATTTTTGACACATAGGAAGCACTATAAAATGTTAGCTATATTTATTACATTACTGATCACTTAGCTGTCTGCTGCCCAAGCACTGCCTGTCTCCAGCGGCTAACCCTGCATTCCATCACTGACCTCCTTAGACCTTGGTCTAACTGGCTGGTGTGGAAACCTCATTCTTTTTTTTCAGTGTCTGCTCTTTCAAAGGATGTTCTCCTGGCCACCAGTGATGCCCTTTATACTACAGCTACCAGGGCTCTCTCCACAGTAGGGTGGAGAAGATGAGATAGTCTCGCAACTGCCTGAAACCAGGGCACTTCTGAATGTCTTTGCTGCTTATACTCGGCTTCTCAGCCAGAATTCTGCATATTCTTCCTCATATAGGCTCCCCCGACAGTTGTTCCACCTTGCCTTCTACTTCCTTGGGAACCTACATTCTAATGTGCATCTGAATCCAGATGAGATCAGGTTTAAGTTCTTTCTTTTTTGTTGTTTTTGGTTTTTTTTGGTTTTTTGTTTGTTTTGTTTTTTTGAGACAGTTTCACTGTTGCCAGGCTGGAGTGCAGTGGTGTGGATCACCAGCTGCCACTGCAGCCT